TTGCATTTGCTCGGCATCTTCTAAACTTGGCTCAGAACTTATCTCAAAAGGTTAGCTTAATTCTCAAGGGTGATGTTGCAAAATGGCAGCCCAACCTCCTTTCAAAGCTGCTCACAGTTATTAGCAATTCTTTATAAGGAATTAGCACAGTATGGTGTTGTAGACTAAAAACTAGCCCAAATAAACCAAACTGCAGTGCCTTCATTTCTGAGAGCTGCATAGGGAATTAGCCTTCCAATCAGTAGATCTGATAGGCTGTTGAAATTGCACTATGTTTGTTTTTAAATCAGAGAACGTTACAATCGAAAGAGGCCTTAAAGGGCATCTCGTCAAACCCTCTTGTCAATGCAGGATCTCCAACGGATGATGAAAATACATTATCCCTCATGGGTGGCTGCCCAGTTCCTGCTAAATTGCTCCCAGCGAAAGAGAGTCCACTGCTGAACAGCTCTTATCCTTCGGATGTTTCTCCTAAGGCAGGGATGGGGAAACTGTGGTCCTTCAGGTGCTATGGGACTTTCTATCAGCCTCAGGCAGCATCAGTGATGGCCGGGGTACCACAGGACCACAGATTCTCCACCGCTGCATCAGGTTTTGCGTCTGCATCCGGGTTTCCACTGCTAACCATTCTTACTGTACCATTTCCAGGAGTTCAAAACTGAGTGCAAAATTTTAAAAAAAACAAACCAGGAAAAGCCAGCTCCCCTAGTGCAAGTTATTGATTGAATGGCTCTGAGATTTTAACATTTTCAATTAAACCTATATAATAATGTCACGGACTCAGTCTGAGTAAGTACATAATAACGTGGCTAATTAAAAAATTAGAATTAATTAACCTTTTCAAAAAAAGTAGCCCATTTTAGTGCCCCAGGTAAATATTCAACTAATTAAAGTAAAAATAGGGCAAGAAACAAAGCTATTATTTGCAAATGCATGTTTTGTGCAACGGGGGCTCCTTCAGCGCCATTCCAAGCTGTTAAATAATTATATATTTAGGACACACTGCCTACATCAAAATTGGTATGAAAACATATGGAAAATCTGACAACGTACCACAGTGCAGTTAATTATTAATCACAGCACCTCAGCTATTTCACTCCTTTACCTTTTTTTTAAAAAAAGGAGGGGGGAGAACAATCGTATTAAGGACTAATCATCAGCCCCGTTTTTCTTCGTTTTTTGTGGAAACCAGGATCACATTAACACATTTTAAAATTGTTAGCACCATTCAGCGACGCAAATTCCACAGCCCTGGGGCTGTCACAAGCCCCCCGTTCATCTCTCGAGATCACAGGCTGCTCAGCAGTCGAAGTACTATAGAATCCTAACGCACAACATGACAGAGAGGGATTGTACACCGAAGGGACAAAATGTACCTTCCCTTTGCACTGTGTGTTTTGTGCTTCCGCCTCACTCACAAAGTTCTGCTTGCCACCAGCGCCACCATTTTGTCTTCCTGTAGAGCACACTTACTTATTTCCCCATTGATAGTGACTCACGCACTTTAGTGGCCTTCTGATTTTGGGAGGTGGGAGTCCATTTTGCCTCCTCTCACCTTGCTGCCTAAAGCTCATTTAAAAAGGTAAAGGGACCCCTGACCATTAGGTCCAGTCGTGGCCGACTCTGGGGTTGCGGTGCTCATCTCGCTTTATTAGCCAAGGGAGCCGTACAGCTTCTAGGTCATGTGGCCAGCAGAAACACCGTTTACCTTCCCACCGGAACGGTACCTATTTATCTACTTGCACTTTGACGTGCTTTCGAACTGCTAGGTTGGCAGGAGCAGGGACCAAACAACGGGAGCTCACCCCGCCGCAGGGATTCGAACCGCCGACTTTCTGATCGGCAAGTCCTAGGCTCTGTGCTTTAACCCACAGCGCCACCCACGTCCAAAGCTCATTTACTTCATCTTATAAAACTTGATGGGAGATATTAGCAACTGTATCTGCTCCCAATTGCACAGTCAGCTTTGATTTCTTTATCCCATTAGAATACGAGGCAGGAGTGCAACCTACGTGGAGCTAAAGAACAAATCTTATTATGGCGGATGGTTGGGTGCATGGAAGTAGGACAGACATTATCTGCTCACATGCATACTTCCCAGCCTTCTGGGATGCCTGCTGGCTGACACTATTCCATCTATGGTTGGGAGTATTGTGTCTTGCCCCTGCAAGCACTTTTAACAGCAATACACTAGCTCATGTTCTTACACAGAGCCTAATTTTTTTACTGTAAACGCGTCAGGACTGGTAGTGATTTCTGCTTAAATATAACACCCTCCTGAGCATTTCAGCTTCCAATCAGGCATGGAACCTGGACAAGTGATGCAGATACCTTGATGAAGTTGAGGGTTCAGATCTGGCCAGTGCATCAATATGAGGCCACCTGAGAGAAGGTGGCATAATGATAATAATAAGCAGAGACATCACCTTGCCAACAAAGGTCTGTATAGTTAAAGCTATGGTTTTCCCAGTAGTGATGTATGGAAGTGAGAGCTGGACCATAAAGAAGGCTGATCGCCGAAGAATTGATGCTTTTGAATTATGGTGCTGGAGGAGACTCTTGAGAGTCCTATGGACTGCAAGAAGATCAAACCGATCCATTCTGAAGGAAATCAGCCCTGAGTGCTCACTGGAAGGACAGATCCTGAAGCTGAGGCTCCAATACTTTGGCCACCTCATGAGAAGAGAAGACTCCCTGGAAAAGACCCTGATGTTGGGAAAGATGGAGGGCACAAGGAGAAGGGGATGACAGAGGACGAGATGGCTGGACAGTGTTCTCGAAGCTACCAGCATGAGCTTGACCAAACTGAGGGAGGCAGTGGAAGACAGGAGTGCCTGCCGTGCTCTGGTCCATGGGGTCACGAAGAGTCGGACACGACTAAATGACTAAACAACAACAATAATCTCAAATTATTTTAACTTCCTAGAGATTTATTGCTCAACAACCAACTTGGCTTGGGAAATTGTGGAGTCATCCTGTGATTGGACAGGCCCAAGTGGGAAAGGTCCTAGATCAGAATGTAGACACAATCAATGTGTGTCTGGAGAAAGCAGCCAACTAGAAAACCTCCCTTAGTGTATCTCAAAAGGTTTTCAACCTTTTTGTGTCCACAGCTCCCTTGACCAACTACATTCTTTCTGTGGCACCCATGTGGGGCTCTGGAGCCCAGTTATGCCACCCCTCGCCTGCAGAGCTGGCAGCCTCTCGCCCTTTTCCAAACACCCACCCTTGTGGAGTGTTCCCTCAGCCTCCTCTCTCATTGGGAGTCCTCTGGGCAGCCGCAGCTGTCACCGCTGGTCTCTGAGCTGTCCCACAGGGTCTTGGGAAGCACCCAACGGGTACCATTCATCAGCCCACGGGTACCATTCACCTTGGGGAGTTTGAAGCCAGGGCTGCTGCAACAGACAGCCGTGCAAGCCTTTGGGAGGCAGAAGGCATCAGAGAAGGGAGGGAAAGAAAGAGGGAAAGAGGCCAGTGTTGCCCACGGCACCCCTGACCATCATTCAAAGCACCCCAGGGTGCCACACGGCACACTGGCTGAAAACCACTGGTGTATCTCATTAGTGTTTTTGGCTTGAGTAAAAAGGTAAAGGGGACCCCTGACCATTAGGTCCAGTCGTGGCCGACTCTGGGGTTGCAGTGCTCATCTCGCTTTATTGGCCGAGGGAGCCGGCATACAACTTCCGGGTCATGTGGCCAGCATGACTAAGCCGCTTCTGGTGAACCAGAGCAGCGCACGGAAACGCCGTTTACCTTCCCGCCGGAGCCGTACCTATTTATCTACTTGCACTTTGACGTGCTTTCGAACTGCTAGGTTGGCAGGAGCAGGGACCGAGCAACAGGAGCTCACCCTATTGTGGGGATTCGAACCGCCGACCCTCTGATCGGCAAGTTCTAGGCTCTGTGGTTTAACCCACAGTGCCACCCGCGTCCCTTGAAGTACCTTTTCAGTTAAGATACGCTGCTTTAAAAACATTCAGAACACCTATCAGGAGTGAACACAGACCAATGACACCAAAAGGTATGGGAAACTGCCCTACAAGAAAAGTTAAACCAACTTAAATGAGCATGGGGACAAGCAAAGGAGGATACAGTGGTACCTCGGGTTACAGACGCTTCAGGTTACAGACTCCGCTAACCCAAAAATAGTACCTCGGGTTAAGAACTTTGCTTCAGGATGAGAACAGAAATCGTGCTCCGGCGGCGCAGCAGCAGCGGGAGGCCCCATTAGCTAAAGTGGTGCTTCAGGTTAAGAACAGTTTCAGGTTAAGAACGGACCTCCAGAATGAATTACCGTATTTTTTGCACCATAACACTCACTTTTTTCCTCCTAGAAAGTAAGGGGAAATGTCTGTGCGTGTTATGGAGGGAATGCCTACGGGTGGCATGCCTATGGATTTTCCTCCTCTAAAAACTACGTGTGTGTTATGGTCGGGTGCGTGTTATAGAGCGAAAAATACGGTAAGTTCTTAACCCGAGGTACCACTGTATATAAGCAAAGGTTATATCCAGACCTACTCCCTTTGCAGATAGGACGCAGATTCTGGTATCATTACTGGCTCAAAGTCAAGGTATTTCACCAAGCATTTTCTTCTTCTTTTTTGCCATGGCATGTCAGAGACCGTGTGGCGGTGCCAGTTGTATGTACTGGTGTCCCCAAAGTGATCCCTAAAGAGAAGCTAAAGAGGTGATCACCTTAGGGCCACCAAATTTCTGAAAGGGTTTCAATATTTCGTGGTGAAAGGCCCATTGAAAACATGAGTAAAGAGTTCATTCCAAAGCAAAGTATATAACAAGAGTCCATATGGCTACATTTGGCAACACAGCTTAATTTTCCAAGTGAATAAGGTGTGAGGGAAGAATTGTGTGGGTCTGTTGTCATTTCAGAGATTATTTCCATTGGAAAACTGCAAACACACACACACACCTAGTGCATATAAATTGCAACAGGTCATTTTTCATTCTTACGGAAAAGGCCAAGAAAAACCAGAAATCCAAAGTCAAAAGGAAAAAAAAATAGTGTTTTATTAACTACCACACTGTTATAATACATTTTAAACGTACAATAAGGTAGCCTTTAAATTTGAGGTGGTTTGAACAAATAAACAGATTCCCAAATGTTTGTAAATAGTGAACAGGTGTTAATTATTGTTCTTTTCCTTTTCCTTGTAAAATGGGTAGCGCACTTACAGACTGGCTATGCAAATTATGTGTGTACATTTTTTTTCTATTATTGAAAATATAAACAGTAATTAAAAAATAAAAAAGAATTCAGCGTAATAAAAAACATATATGTTTATCACTTAAATGTACTGGATACATACAATTTAAGGAAGAAGCATAAAGGAAAGATGTGGACATTTAAATGTAGAGCTAACCAAAAGCTTGGCAGAAGAAAGCGTTGTAAAAACCCTTATTTCACTATTGACTAATATTAATATAGTTTGGAGTATTGTCCCTGTAGGACTGATTTCTATTATTTGCATATGTTTGTTTTTTAACTGGAAATTTACATGATGGCTTTTAAGGCCCTGGCAGACAGATGTTTTTAGAGACAAGATTAGATAAAAACCAATGTTGAAACGGACACCCCTTAGTTTTTGGTCCTCCAATATTCAAGAAAAGGGCACCTTTAATTTTTGCTTCACCACCCAAAATGCTGCAACCTATTTTCTTTTAAGCCTTTGAATAATTTTAAATATTGGTTATATTGTCCAAATTAGTTACTGAAAGAATATTAACAATACATTATTTTGGCAAAATTAAACCTTTAAACATGGCTTTTCAACAGGATTTAAAAGGTAACTATCCCTAGAGTTCCATGTTAAAATGTACTTCTCAAAATCTTACGAGAGTTATGCTTAAAATATTGTACATAGTTAACCTAATTAAAATAATTAGCTTCAAAATGACAACTTGATGAGCTAAGTAAAGCCTATACAATGAAACATTTGCTTGGAAACTTGATTTGTCAGTTATGCATAATAAAAATTCCAGTCATCAAGAAAATTACAAAATTTCTTTCTTTATCATAACATGATTTCTTTCACCAATCAACTTTTATCTTACAATAGATAAATACCAACATGTTCTCATTTTTACACTAAACCACAAAGGATTGATGCATTTGATTAGACTACCATTTCCATCGTTAAATTTATTTTTTATACAAGTTGGTAAAATTTAATCTCTTCTAGATTCCAAAAGTACCTACAAAACCCATGCAATTTTACCATTTTAATATACTATGGAATATCATACAAAGTAAGGCATTTCAGTGTCATGTATAACCAAGTTACTGTCAATCCAAAAATTTTTGCACATCAATAAAAAGATATCTAAGAACTTAGGAACAATATTCTTCTCACTACTGTATAAAAATAACCACAATTAATAGGTATCTTGTGTAATATTTATTCCATTGTCTCGTTTCCAGAAACAGTAACAAGCTGTAAAGGTATTTCAGCGTTGGTAAGAATATCTTGATTGCTGGTGCCAGAAGTGTTAACAGTCCCTATCCCTGAAACAGAACCTTGTTGAATATTAGCAAGGATAAGCGTTGTTCCGCCCGCAGTAATCAAAGTATCCTCCGGCGTTGCTTCTACCGAGGCCAGCACTGTACTGCTAGCGTGAATAGCCTTTTTATTTTGATGCGTTTTAATATGTTTGGCAAGATGGTCACTTCTCATGAAGCGCTTTGAACATTCTGGGCAGACGAACTTCTTTTCACCTGTTGAAAACATAAAAGTCAGAAGCTCTCACACAAAACACACAAAATAACGTCGGGCACATTGTAGCCAAACGCTTCAGCTTATCTCAGATTTGCTTCTTGGGTTGAAAACTGTGCAGCGATTTAAATGCACTGTTGCTAAAAGGAAGCGACGGCAGGCTAAATTTTGACAGGCAGTCAGATGTTAGCAGCAGTGCTTACATGCCATATTTTGATCTGGATTGGTGTTTTGCTCTCCCTCCCCATCCTTGCTGACAGGTGCGAGTCACACAGAGTAAGCGAAGTGAACTCTTTATTTGAAAAACAGGATCTGCACAGGGGTGCCAGGTCTTGCCCCATGAGGCAGTTGTGTAGAAGAAGAAGAGTTTGGATTTGATATCCCGCTTTATCACTACCCGAAGGAGTCTCAAAGCGGCTAACAATCTCCTCTCCCTTCCTCCCCCACAACAAACACTCTGTGAGGTGAGTGAGGCTGATAGACTTCAGAGAAGTGTGACTAGCCCAAGGTCACCCAGCAGCTGCATGTGGAGGAGCAGGGAAGCGAACCCGGTTCACCAGATTACGAGTCCACCGCTCTTAACCACTACACCACACTAGTGTGGACTGAAGGTCCTGCTCCCTAAATTCCCTCTTCTCCAGGGTTTTCCCTAAGCAATCTGAGATGGTGCTTGCATGACCCTAATTTATTCTCTGCCCTCTTAATGCCTCTCCTGGTTCTGGGACACTAGCAGGGACGGGAGCTTGTCACAGCAGCAGGAGGAGGCACATGTGCCTCTTCACCAGCCAGACTCATCTCTGCCTCTTAGCCTCCCTCATCCCACTTTCCTGTTTCAGCTTCTGCCTCTGATTCCGGACTGCTCTCTGCCACAGACTCCCCCTGCTCACTAAGCCCTGTTGCCACTCCAGCTTCCGACACCTCCTCCTCCCAGACTTCTCCCTCTGACCACTCATGGTCATCCCACCACCAATCCCCTGGGACTCTGAGCCGTCTTCCCTTGGGGGTTCTCCAGAGGGTTCCTTCACACCATTCCTCTGCATCCAACCAGTCCACAATATCCGCGCCCTCAAAAGGAGCAAACAAACAATTGTAAAGACGCCAAACGTTGGTAACCTGTATGTGTCCTCCTGTGCCGCTGTAGCTCATCGCTGCGGGTGAACCTTTTCCCACAGAACATCCAAGTACAAATGAACGGACGCTCTCCAGAATGCCAGCGAAGGTGAGCTCTCAGGTGTGATGTCTTCCCGTACACTTTCCCGCAGCCAGGTATGTGACAGATGTGCTGTTTCTTCTTCCCCAGATTGGTGCCTCTGTTAAAATACGAACCGACACAAAAGTTCCTCAGCTCAGGCAGACGCATAGGGACAGTTTGCTGAACTGTAAAGAGGCGCATTCCAAACATCTTGGTACACACATTTACAGGGATCAATGGCTCAGAAGCCGCAGGAGCTGTCGCCGCTGAAACCGAGAATCGTAACACAAGCCACACCCCTCAGTCAGTCATTTGTCCGCTCACACTGAAAAGTACCAGAAGCATGCATTCCCCACAGCTACAGGTGCTGAAATTAATGAGCTCCCTCACTTTTGCCTCATTTATTTTAAAGACATTTACCACACGGGAAGTCAAGGAGTGCGTACCTTCCACCCCCTTCTTTACAATTAGGACAGGTGCAAGCGACTCTTCGCAATCTCTTCCCTTCTTGATGTGGCTGGTCCCCTTCCTCGTCCACCACCTGCACTCTCAAATGTGTCAGATCATTGGTATTCAGTGTAGAATCACCACCAAGCTGCCATTCTTCTGGATCAGGCTCCTCTTCTTTAATCCTGATATCTAAGGAGAAGAAACACAGGGATTAGTTATCTGGCCTATTAAAAACCAAAGGAAGCAACACATAATGATCTCATCCTTTAACGTACTTAGCACTATGGGCACGCCAGTTAAAAAGTCAGGTGCTTTTACTACCTGCCATTGTCATGGCTATCTACACCCCTGTTGCCCAGTCTGCATTTAAGAGTCACGATGATGAGCCACAGGTTTCAGATCACCATATGGAGAAGTTTCACAACACCATTAAAAGTTCTTTCTGACGGGGGGAGGAAATACATGCTATATATGCACACCATATTTGACTTGCTGTAAAGGTTCTTAAGCCACCCAATATGAAATTATCAGGAAAAAACTGTTAATTATTTGCACATAAATGCCTTTTGTTGAAAGCAGAATGGAAATTCAAAAAGGCTGAAAGAAAGTTTCAAGAATGCTTGTTTAAAGCAACCCTGCAAATTGCTCTTTGCAACATCTATGGGATGTGAACACAACTGAAGTGGGACTGTCTCTGCCCAAACAGATGTTTTATACAACACAGCATTTCAAAAGTAATATAATAAATAATAATAATAATAATAATAATAATAATAATAATAATAATTTTTATTTATACCCCGCCCTCCCCAGCCAAGTTCATGATTTCAAATTGACTGACGTATGCAAGCAAAATCACAAACTGCAGATATCCTGATATTAGATCGAAGAAGTCGTCTTGAACCAGTACTTGCAGCAGCAAGGATTTCTGGGTTCCAGGGAGCAGAGTTAGAAACTCAGATATATAAGCTAGGCACCAAATGGCTCCTTAAACCAAGGTTGCAGTCACCAAAACAGTATGTCTAGTTTACATTTTTGGGCAAGACGGCAAATACTTTTCAATGACTGTGACTGGTTATCAGTTAAACATCTGGCTAGCTAGTTTAGAAGCCAACCTTGAGCTAAGTTAAGAACTTTGAGAACTTAAAGAAGAATATGTGTGTGTGTGTGTGTGTGTGTGTGTGTGTATGTATAGGCCTATTCCTATCTCTTTTTCTTAATGGTGACATGGACCATACATAATGTAAGAATATTCACAACTGTGAGCAGGGCAGGGGGGAGCAGTAAGTGAAGACAAGCTACAACAATTAACTATAACGCTCACTGCTCCTGCTCAGGCTGCACAGAAAAAGCATTTTGGTTCCTGAAATTCATTCCAATTGTGCAGATAAAATACAACTGATAGAATTCTACAGGATGGGGTATTAGTGTGTGAAAACAAATCAAGATCCAATGAACCCCCCAGGAATGCTCCTCCAGTTGGTGGTGCCCAGGCATCTTCACTTGGTTGCAAGTGGCAGACAGTCAGATGCAAAATGCTCCTGGCGCCTGGCTAATTTCTAACACTGCTAGGGAGTGCAGGGAAATGCCAGAAGCCAAGCTAGCTAAATATGAAATCGCTACTTCCTGGGAAGATACGGCCAAAGCAAAGCTGCCTCTATGGTTGTGGCACTCGCGCTGGTAAAAAGGGTAACTTGCATGCATGCAAAGTTTGCTCCTTGCTTCCTATATACTTCTTGTGCCTGGCGTTTTCTGTTTAGCACCTGTTCAATTCCTCCCTGCTAACTGAAGATTCAGAACCACGTTAAACCCCAGCTTAAGGCTTTATCAGCGATGATTGTGGGGTTGAGCTCTACTTCTTTCCTGACTCTGCACTGTGGAGTTGGGGAAGAAGTGAAGATTGAACCAATGCCCATCCAACCCACGGCAAAGCCAAACACAGGAAAGATATGTCGTTGTTACTCCTAATGAAGAACAATAATATAGACGCAGTAGCAGGTTTTCAGCTGCTACGATGGTGCCTAGATTTTTCCACCGAAAAGGCTTTTTAAAATCTCACTGACAAACCCAGGATGTTCCCCTTACTTGCATTTATAAGCAGTAAGATAGCCGTGAGAGTATTTTGTCTATTACCAATCATATTTACCACTAGCCTCAGATGCAGATTCCTTAATAATGCACTCTCTGCCATTAAATGTCAGTTGCTTAATAAGTTACTTTCTGCAACTCAAAGCTGCTGAAAGTTTGAAAAGCACTCAGAAATAAAAATCATCCTCAGAGCACTGCTAATTTATGGTACCATTTGCTAGCAAATGGCCTGCAAATGGAATTCCAAGGAGAAAAATTACAAACTGACAAGAAACCAAGTCCAAGAAATATAGCGGCAATAATTTTGGGGAGGGGCAAGAGGTAATATAATTGTTACAGGCATTTGTTTGGTTAACATATGGCAAACGAGTTCACCTCAATCTCTTACCTAGAGAGGCAACCAGTGCTAATAATCTTCCTGTTTGTATGTTTGGTTTTGAAACCAAAACTTCCAAATATGGTTCAAAAATCAGATACTCGGACTGTTTCTTCTGCAGTGCAATTCTATATACTGAGAAGGAAGTTCCATTTTATTCAATGGGGCTTCACTACCAGAGAAGAGTGTACTAAATTGCAGTCTTAGATGTGCCAACAGAAGTCCTCATGTAAGCACCTAAAGTGTGCTAGTTTCTGATTTTCTCTTCGTGGGACAGTTCTTCACAAGACACTGCATTTTTAACATGGCCAAAGAAAGCAAAGAATGGTTGCTCTATCTCCTGAATTTGCCTTAAGGCCAGGTACAAACTACTGATATACGGCTACCCCCAATAACCCCGTTAATAAAGGGAAAGTCATAATGTGACTTGTTCCATTTATCGTTTGAAATATAAGAGTGATTCAGATAAGCCGTAGCTCAATAAAAGTTAAAAGTATTGATCAGGGGAAGAGACAAAGCAGGTTTCAAACTAGAGCAATTAGGTAAAATTGCTGTTTGCTCCTATGCAATTGGGTGCAGAAATACTATTCAAGAGGCAAAAATTCATTTTCACTCCTTAATTTGTTAAATATTATTAAGAAAATTCTGGAGATACATTATTGGTGCAGGCAAACAGCTGGGACCCAAAATATAGCAATCCTAGGCACACACACCAGGCTTCTGAAACTTATCTTCTGACTGCAGCTGTTTGTTTGTGCTGATTCAAATAACGAGGAGGACCACCTGAAGTTTCAGGGGTGGTTTTTCAGATGCCACGGAAGTGTAGAGAGAGGCTCATCCTGTGTGGCTCGAAATCCGCTTGCACAACAAACATCTGTACATTTATCACACACTACGGCCACACTCATTTATTTCGCAGTTTATACCTTGGGGGTCAAGGCAAATCCAGGAGATAAGAACAGCCATTCTCTAAAACTTCATTGCTTTATTTGGCCAGGGTCCCAAAGTATGCATGCACTGAAGTTTCCCATGGGACCAGAACAGAATGTAGCATGTTGGGAGGGGCTATAGAGGCAAGGGGAAAACCAGCAACTGCTCTGGAATCACAGTGGCGTAGTGTGGGTTGTCAGCACCCGGGGCAAGGCAAGTAATTTGCGCCCCTGCCAGGTAGGGGCAGAGAGCTGCGAGTGCGAGCGCCCCCCCCAAGATGTTGCACCCGGCCCCCCCCTGCACCCCCCACGCTACGCCACTGTGGAATCATCTTGGAGGCATATATGAACCTTGCCATTTATTTCACCTTCTGAGCTGTCCATTTATTTATTTATTTTTAAAAAGGCTAGATCTTTCAATCAATAGTAAAAGTTGTGCTTCTCAGAAGGTAGAACTTGCAAGTGATGTAGACGGAAAACAGGCAACGCGAAGCCTAGTGTCGCTCCTCGTGCTTATCAAGCCGTTTTCTTGCTCGGACAGCCTGCGCAGACTTCTGAGTCGCCCCTTTGCTTTAAAGGCAATTCTTCTGGTAAAATTTAGCCTTACTGCTGTTATCTCGTGGCCTTATGATGTCCAGGCTCAGATTTTTCAAAAGATTAAACTGAAAGGAGATGTTCACTAGGTGTTGCTTATTTTCATAGTGCTGCAGAGATCCTGTCCAACGATTCCCTCCATACCTTACTCTTAAAGGTACTGGTACTCTCTTTAGATTTGGACCCGGCAATGCTACACATCTTGGGCTCCCTGTTCCATGTTGCTCTCTTGCCTATGGACTACCTAGAAATAACTCAAAGCCACAGCAGTACCTAGGCCCCATATAAGCCCAACTTTAAATATAGCCTTTTTTTCCAGCCTTATGTCTCTACTAAATATTATTGTAGCCCTTTAACATTCTTTTTTTATAATTAAAACAGGCCCCCAAATAATAATCACTTCCTACCATGCCAAATGGGCTCTTCACATTTTGCTTTCTGCATTTGAGGGCAACTCCTAAGAAATCTAGGGCTGTATTCACTTACAAATCCTAAATAGATGTATGACAGAGGAGCTTAGTGAATAGGTGGGTGCAGAAGGTTCAGACCTATAGGTAAATCTATAGCATAACTGATAGAATTGTGTTTGTCTTGAGAAAATAAAGACAATTTGAAATTAAACAAAACACTGCATATTTTTAAACAGTCCATATTCTGTGGAAGTAGGATCCATACTTGTGAGGTTCTAAATCACAGAAATTTCCAAATCCAGAACTGGGAAACAGATGGCAAAACAGGGAAACCCATGCAAAAATAAATGTCAAATGTCCATGCAAGTGACTACTGATTTGAATTAAGCATTGAACTGAACATTTATACCTTTCCAGGGTTAGTTTGGTCAACAACTGAGCAAGTACTTTAGATAATTAACTATGATTGTATAACCCTTAACTGGGCAGGATGGGAAGGAAGGAAGCTACGGCTGGTGACAATGTTTACCCTCGTCAACGGAAGTTATGTAAAGCTGAACCAAGACTTGACAATAATTAATGATTTAAGCCAGGCTGATCACAAGACCACCGACAATTCAGTACAGTAATGCTTCCTTTGATTGGCTAAAGGCAGCCAAGAACTCTTTCCTATCAATAATATAGTGTCTCCTGATAGCCCGTTATCTCAGCTCATTTCTGGAAAAAGACTTCATCACAATAGCTTATGGTGTTTGATCCAAGACTGGCTTATGGTGTTTGATCAGAAACACCCATAGTTGCTACTGGAGGAGCTGTTAGCATAAGGGGAGAAAAGTGCCCCATTTATGCTAGTGTTAGGGGCTGCACAGTATTACAGTCTTGATCAAAGGATAAATTTCAATGAGTCTGATCTGCTACAGAGGATTTTCGACTATTCCCCCCCCCCCCATGCAACCTAAAGGGTTGGAGGACTCTCCAGAGCAACATGGGAGGTGATGCTCAGGGCTGCAGGAGAAATCAGTGAAAATTATTTCCTACAACTTCCTCAAGTGCGAGCCTACTCTTGACTGGAGATCCTTCTGCGACTGGAATAAGCTCTTCCATTTTTTTCGAAAGGGCACATCTTGATCCAACCCAATGTGCACATTTCATTCTTAGATAGATCAAAGCGTGAGACAGTTTGCAATTCTTTCCACTTGTTTTAACCCTGATTAGAGTTCTCGTTTGTGGGATGCGGGTGGCGCTGTGGGTAAAACCTCAGCGCCTAGGGCTTGCCGATCGCATGGTCGGCGGTTCGAATCCCCGCGGCGGGGTGAGCTCCCGTCTGCGGTCCCAGCTCCTGCCCACCTAGCAGTTCGAAAGCACCCCTAAAGTGCAAGTAGATAAAAAGGTACCGCTTTCTAGCGGGAAGGTAAACGGCGTTTCTGTGCGCTGCGCTGGTGCTGGCTCGCCAGAGCAGCTTCGTCACGCTGGCCACGTGACCTGGAAGTGTCTCCGGACAGCGCTGGCCCCCGGCCTCTTAAGTGAGATGGGCGCACAACCCTAGAGTCGGACACGACTGGCCCGTAGGGCAGGGGTACCTAGAGTTCTCGTTAGAGGGACGCGGGTGGCGCTGTGGGTTAAACCACAGAGCCTAGGACTTGCCGATCAAAAGGTCGGCGGTTCGAACCCCATTACTCAGTCCCTGCTCCTGCCAACCTAGCAGTGCGAAAGCATGTCAGAGTGCAAGTAGATAAATAGGTACCGCTCTGGTGGGAAGGTAAATGGCATTTCCATGCGCTGCTCTGGTTCACCAGAAGCGGCTTAGTCATGGTGGCCACATGATCCGGAAGCTGTACGCTGGCTCCCTTGGCCAATAAAGCGAGATGAGTGCTGCAACCCCAGAGTCGGCCACGACTGGACCTAATGGTCAGGGGTCCCTTTACCTTTTCCTAGAGTTCTCGTTTCAATTTTCCACCCAGAAACAGCTCTATTATTGCCTGTTATTGCTCCAGGAATGCATACTTACAAAGGACAATAATCAAGCAAACAGCAATGTGCAAAGGTGTGGGGAAGAGATTAACATTTAATTTGTAGAAAAAATATTTACACCACTAATAATTTCGGGTTTACTTAGTTCTTGTCTCTATAGTAGTGCTGGGGGACAGCAACATGGCATGGGGGCACACTAACCAAGGCATTTCTTTGTGCCCATAGCATCCCTTTCTTGTGCCCCTTCAAATCTCCTGTCTTAGTCACAGGAGCTTTTGCTCCTCACCTGTGATGTCCCCTCCCCTCCAAAACATCCCTTATGACACAATACAATTAGGCTTGAAAAGAGCCTTCTTTCCCTTGCCTTCTCTTGCACACACCTCTGTCCAAAATGCCCCCATGCCAAGAATTTCACTTGAAATAAGCATTTTTATTGGTTGCAATGGGCTTTATAAAAACCTAATTGTTGTGGTGGGGCATCTCCCTGGAGTTTATAAATGGGGATGGGGACGTACACCCCATCCCCTGCAAGTTGCACTCTGCAGGACATCCACTTCCCATTAGGCCTGAAAAAAGCTAAAATACTTTGTTCAAATCTAACTGCTGGGAGTTGGGGGGAGAGAGAAAGAGCATGTGGCGCGCATGCCAGCATTGTTGCGGGGTGAGCATGTCTGTACCACTGCAGTGCGTATGCATGTTTGGTGCCCATGGCAGTTTCTTAGGTTTCCTGCTGAATCGCACCAGGGAAATCATCCTTATTCTGTATTTTGAAATTCGTTTTCAAAGCAGTTAATGCAATATGGAAAGGAATGACCACATTTCCCAACTACCACTTAATGAGGCTTTTTGTTTTCACTATCCGAAAAAAGAGGTGGCTCTGACATAAAACACTACTAAATCTAGTACAGTTGTTAAAGAAAACACTATAGACTATCCTCGTAACTGCAGCTGGTTTATGTGGCAAAGGGATATCCAACATTAACTCAGCACTGAACTTCCGTAAATGATCTAAGTGTTTTACCGATATATGTTTGCTAGGCACCTGCAGAGAATTCCAAATTCTACCTATCTGTGCATATCCAGGCCAATAGCTATGCTGTTAGATGGAATTCGGAAGAAACGGCTTTAACTTAAGTGCATGCAAGGGCTTGAATATGTCCAGTGGTTAGCTTGTTTTAACTTTCTTTATATAAATGAATGGCTTTGTAACATTCTGCAGAGTTTCTAAAGTGGTTTGCCATTTGGCATTGGGGGTGGGCAGGGGATGCTAATCTAGAAACACAAGCCTAGGTTCCACTGGACATGTCTTTCTCTTTGGATTCTGGCTACTATTTACATATGCAAGGTAAAACAAGAGCCACAAATCAACAAGGGGTTCATTTCTTCGTATTTAACGATCTTCAGCCTCTAACTGAATTCTCAAGGGGGTGTGGGTTATGTAAGGCGTGCAACTCAGTTCATAAGGTTACTGAGAATTTGTACAGTATTCATTTCTCTGGGTTGTATCTAATTGTGTCGTGGAAGGAGTAAGCGTCTTTGACCTAGCAGAGACCCCAGTGAACAGAAGGGGGTGGCAAACTACAGTGGTACCTCGGGTTACATACGCTTCAGGTTGCAGAGTCCGCTAACCCAGAAATCGTGCTTCAGGTTAAGAACTTTGCTTCAGGATCAGAACAGAAATCGTGCTCCGGCGGCGCGGCGGCAGCAGGAGGCCCCATGAGCTAAAGTGGTGCTTCAGGTTAAGAACAGTTTCAGGTTAAGAACGGACCTCTGGAATGAATTAAGTACTTAACCTGAGGTACCACTGTATACCAATTTCTCCTTCAGTCTTCCAAATCACCTTCCTCTAATCCCCCCCAAAGCAAATTTGGGGGAGGGCAGAGAAGCTGAAGGGAAGAGGAAAAGAGAACTGGTAAATGAATCCCCTCCTTCTATTAGCACAGGGCTTCTCAAACTTGGGTCTGCGGCTGCTTTTGGACTACAACTCCCAGCATCCCTAGCTAGCGGAACCAACGGTCAGGGATGACGGGAGTTGTAGTCCAACAACAGCTTCAGACCCAAGTCTGAGAAACACGGCAATTAGCAAAAACATTCACTGGATGGAGAGGAACGAATAGATTCCACTCTTCAACTGCAAGAAAATTCTCTCTCTGCTTATCAAATTGGAATGTCAGTGGCACTGGCAAGAGTAATTGATTTGCTCCCACTCTTAACCCAAATTATTTTGCCGCTGTACTGAAAACCAAGAAACTGAATTGTACTTTTGTCAAAACTCAAACCTTCAATCAGTAAATGAACCCATTAACCACCAGTATTTCCTTCTGGATTTAACACCTTCTTCCTTGTACAATTCTTTGGATTCAAAATTTACACTACAATTTGCACTGCTCTTGCTTAATGTAGTACTGTCGACGGAAAAAACTGCAGTCTGAACCCATGCTTCAAAATTTGCATATAGGCTCTGGTACAAGTTTTGGCCGAAGTGTTCTGTAAAAGCCAGCAACAAGTATTGCAAAGTTTGAGTCTCAGCAACTCTTCTGATATCAGGCTCATTTTCAAAACACGTCAAAGTTGCTCCACAAATCAGTAGAGCAGCTAAGTTATATGGCAGATCCTAAACTGGATACAAAATAGCATCATTTGTATTGTTTAGCCCAATTGATCTTCATCTGTCAAAACTTGTCCAAGGTTTTTTGAAACATGGCCTCTGTACTACAAGCCAACGAATAACTAACCTTATCTGTGTTGTCTTGCCATTGTTATAGATCTGTTAAAATGTACTTCATACAATTAGATTTATAAAGTAAGTTACTAAACCATGGGAGGCATCCAGTGATATTCACTGGTGGGCAAAATGGTACTTGCAGTTTCTCTTCTTCCCCCTCCAGCCCCCATTGGTCCCCCATAACCTCTTATAGAGGGTTCCTCAACTCCTCTGGAGAAACCCTGATGCATCAGCAGAAGCCCACTCACACTCATGTTGCATCTCATCTCTGACATTTATAATCATTTGAAACATAAAGTTCAGAAAAATGAATTTCAGACATCGCGGATAGAGATATAACCAGTTTAAGGAGGACAAACTAGAACTTGACATTTCAGAAAGTGAACTATTCCCAGCTGTTGCAAAAGTATTTCTTGGGAAAATAGCAGCACAAAGTCTTGCATACTTCCATGAACCCCCCCCCCCAAAAAAATATTGTGAACGCTTATCAATGTTAAAAGCATTAAAGGGACTAGTTTCACAAAGACGCGTTATAATGATATAAATACCTGCAGGACTGTCGGCATTTTCTCCTGAGTGCAGCTGAATGCCACCAGAATCTATGGAATTTATTGTAACTGTCTGTAGATTTGGCAACTGAGCAGTACTTAGGCTAACAGGAGTCGAAGTCAAGCCCCCGCTTGCTGCAACTTGACCCAGAGTGAGCGTCTGCACAGGGGTCAACGTTATTTGTTGGCCAGGGGCATTCTGCAGCTGCAAGTTCTGCAAGTTCTGAACTCCTTGCACTTGAAACGTCTGCCAGGTTATCTGCCCAGATGGGGTCACTGTCTGCGCCTGGATTAAAAACGTCCCAGGGTTCAACTGAAGCTGAAGATTCTGCAAAGCCTGTTGCGATATCCCTTGGCCAGCCTGCACCCCGTGGATTGTCTGCTGCGCAATACCTTGTACAATTTGGGCTTGACTGGTTGTTTGCTGAGACTCCTGAAGCTGTATGTGCTGCACAATAGGCTGTGCTGTGGAGACCTGAATATTCTGAGCCTGGGTCTCTTCCGAGACAGATGTTTGGATATAATTTCCCTGAAGATCAGAACTGTGTACTTGCCCAGTATTAGTAGACAGGCTGTTTGCATTCTGCTCCAATATACTGGTACTGTCTATAGTTACAGGCAGTTGTGATGAAGAAGATGTTGGCACAAACAAGTCTGTATCGGTGGTGGTTTCCGTCATTTCAGGAGAAACCTGCTCAGCAGTCCTATCAGAAGTGTCCGAACTATCCATCGCCTGTGAAGTACTTATCAAATGCCCGTCGGCGTTAATGCCTGCAGTCATGGTTTGAGAACCACTTAGTCCCAGAGAATCTAGATCAACACTATTGATGGGAACAAAAGCAATATTTCCCGGCAGTCCAAGAGGAACGTTAGCAACTACCTGTGCTTGCCCAGGGAAAGACGAACTGCCAATGGTAACCCCTTGGACTTGGCCAGTCTGTGATAATATATTCTGAATATTACTAGAAGATGTTCCAGAGGCAATGATGGTTTGATTGGAGCCAGGAATGATTTGAATTTGACCGGTTTCTTGATTTACACTACCGTTGTCAGAAGAGGCTGCAAAACCCAGCTGAACTTGCTGACCATCAGCTGTCTGAATCTGGGGTATCACTTGATACTGGACATTGGGCACTGCGCCGTTTGACGAATCCGATCCAGATGCAACAGAAAATATCTGTTGATTCTGCAAACTCTGTAGGGGAAGAACATATTGCCCACTTGAAGTTACTGTGGCAGTCCCCGGGATCTGTACTATATTGCCAGCTTCATCTTTGATGGTTGTTGGCGTAGCAGACAGCACCTCCCATCTATTTGGAGTTCCTGCTAACTGTACAGATGACAAATCCCCTGCCTGAACAGAAGCAAAAAGAACAGAAAATCAAGACATGTAGATTTTACATGTTAGATTACATACAAACTGTAAATCAATACATTGCAAACATACATGCGATTTACAACTTCCATGCAACCTGGACTTAAATGCACTTAGAACTCATTTACCTCAATAGGCCTGAACACACACAGCTCTGTGCTGCATTGTGGCCTTTACCCACCATTTCAACATACTGTTACATTAGTCTAGTACACTGAAGGTTAATCGCCGGACAATCAACGGTTGAAAAACATCAAGAAACTCACGTCAAGTATTTTATCTTTTCGACACCGGATCTTCCAATGCTAATCCATTATGCTGATCTTTGATAAAACCATTCTAACGATTTAAGTCCCCGCCATACTCCAATAAATGTGTCATACATGAATTTTAGGTTGGCTGCTATGACAATACGCACACACACACAGAGAGACTTCAGTTCTCATGGTCCAAAGCATATTTTGCATGCATACAATATTTCCCCATTACTGTCCTCCAGCCACACCTCCTTGAACTGAGCTGGGTGCCCCTCTACAGAGCCCTTAGAGTCAAGGGCTACACAAAAAGAACTAATATATATATATATTTGATCCAAATAGGGAAAAGCCATTTATAGTATACTCGATAAGAAACAATAAGTGTTGAAATTTTGATATATAACCTTATTTTCACATTGTTAGCGCCTGCTAATTCCTAGATGCTGTACGGGAGCAATTGTATCCTGTGTGGGCCTCCTTGTCGCAGTGGCAGAAAGCTCAGCTGCCATTGTTCCTCTGCCAGCTGTACTGTGACTGCAGTTAGGGAGCTGGGGAAGATTCATGTCAGGGACGCTATAGATTCAGAGGCCTGTCCATTTCCAACAGGTTGATTACAGAAGGAAACCTATATACCATTTACTATACAGTCGGACCTTGGAAGTCGAATGGAATCCGTTCGACTTCCAAAATGTTTGGAAACCAAGGTGCGGCTTCCGATTGGCTGCAGGAAGCTCCTGCAGCCAACCAGAACCCGCATTGGATGTTCAGGTTCCAAAGAAAGTTCGCAAACCGGAACACTCACTTCCGGGTTTGCGGCACTTAGGAGCCAAGGCGTTCGACTTCCGAGGTACGACTGTATACATTTACAATTTACTATATACATTTCTGGGTGAAATGTAGTTCTATTTTTAGAAAGCAAAATGCGGCGCCTTCTGTGCCCTGGCTGGCCGGAGCCCAGCAAGGCTTAGGAAGTGGCAGTTTTTCTGTCACAGACTCTTCCCTTCCACCCAACCACACCACTCACCAGGACTGCTCTGCCCAATGTTTCATGGAGAACATGTGCTGATCAGCACTAGAAGGTGGTACCAATTCATTTTGGAGATTATGGAAAAGGAGAACTAAATTAATTCGTGACAGACAGAAAGCATTTACCACGTGCTATCATTTCGGCTTGAAAGATACTTAACCTTCTCTACTTAAACAGCAGCAGTGAGACTACAACATAACACTTTTCCAAGCATCCCCGCGGCATTGTGGAATGTTGTCCTGACTTGGATCCTAGCTGATCAGATGTCTTAAATCATCTTAGCCGCTTTTCTTGTCTTCCCAATGCACGCTTTAGAAGTTAAGGAGGTTTGAGATAATACAATCAAAACTGTTTGATTGCAAAATCAAAAAAAGTTTAGGCAAAGTAATAGCGAAGGAAAAAACAAACAAGTTTAGCACAATAGATCTAAAGCTTAGTTACATTGCTACAGCATCCTAATAAATAGCTGCTGTATTCATTAGCATGCAAAGTACTCCAAGAGCAGATTCAGAAACAGCAGCAGCTGCAGCAGCTCAACCGCTGAAGTGCTTCGAAGGACAGTGTTGTTGTTTTTTTTGGGTTGCAGCACCTAAAGCCTTGCAGAGTGAGGTCCATCAGGCCCTATTGTGGCACTGCTTCAAAAGGCGAATGAAGACCTGACATTTTTTTAAGGCCTCTGGTTAATTGTGAACTTTTTGATGGCTCAGTTATTTTTGTACTGTTAAGATTCGTTAGTTTGCACATTGTTAATATTAATTTCAGTGAATATGGAAGGAAGGTTAGGTTTCATTCTGTTTTTACTGGAGAAGTAGGTGAGACAGAATTGTTTAAAAGGATGTCGTAGAAAACAGACGATGCTAAATTTTCAAAGGCCCTAGTCTCCACTGTAATGAACTATTAAAGTTCACATTACAAACGATCCATTTCAGATCATTTTCCAAAAAGGATTGGCAATGGACAAGACTGGAAATAATAGCGAACCATTTCTGGTCTTAGCCATCTGTCACATACTGATTTCTTTAAATTCAGTATGCTTCTCCTTCTCAGCCCCCAGTCAGAAGGCAGGCCTTTCCTTTATACAGGCCCCTTCCTCCACACTATTAGGTTTTCCTTTTTTTATACTTCATGCACCGACAACAACAGTCAAGAAAAGGACATGTACTTTAACAGGGAATCTGCTCTCTCTCTCTCGTGCTCCTTGCAAGATTTCAAACATCCTAGAGACACCCTGTACTCCAAGGAGAGAATGGCACTTCCTTGCAATAAGCAGCACCCATAATGCAGGACGCGGGTGGCGCTGTGGGTAAAAGCCTCAGTGCCTAGGGCTTGCCGATCGAAAGGTCAGCGGTTCGAATCCCCGCGGCGGGGTGTGCTCCCGTTGTTCGGTCCCAGCGCCTGCCAACCTAGCAGTTCGAAAGCACCCCCGGGTGCAAGTAGATAAATAGGGACCGCTTACTAGCGGGAAGGTAAACGGCGTTCCGTGTGCTGCGCTGGCTCGCCAGAGCAGCGATGTCACGCTGGCCACGTGACCCGGAAGTGTCTGCTATAGAGTGAGATGAGCGCACAACCCTAGAGTCTGTCAAGACTGGCCCGTACGGGCAGGGGTACCTTTACCTTTATAATGCAATGGTTTCATCATAGCTAAGCAGAATAAAGCAAAGCTGTAGAGTGCTGTGGTTTCAGAGCACTCCAGCTAGTCACACATCTTCCAAGACTCCTTGGATCTTCTCAAGTGTCTTCAATGCCACATCAAACATCGGATATGGCTACCAACCCACTGTATCTCAAGAGTCTGAAATGTCTCAATATTTTTCAGCAGATGAATAAACAAGGAATCAGTTCTCACACAGGTGAGATACAAGTCCCAAGGACTTCCTGTCACGAAGGATCTGGCCGCATGCCTCTTACCCAGGCATAGGCAAACTAGGCCCTCCAGATGTTTTGGGACTACAATTCCCATCATCCCTAGCTAACAGGACTAGTGGTCAGGGATGATGGGAATTGTAGTCTCAAAACATCTGGAGGGCCAAGTTTGCCTATGCCTGCTCTTACCAATCTCAACGTTCTAATGAATTATTTTCCAAAAGTCAAAGTATAATATAACGGAAAAGAACTAGTCAGTCAGGGACAGGTATCTTAAAGCAAAGCGCTTTGCTGCCACTTCTGAACGCAAGGAATTGTCCTTCGTTCCAACTACAGTTAAACAAACTAGGATGAATCCATGCCTTGACATCCTGGTTTTCTCTCAACTCACTAGTCCTCAAAGATCGGAACCTGCTGTGGTCAAAGGTGAATCTGAAAGCTTTCATTCTTCTCTTCTCATGTGAAGGAAGACAGAGGCGTGTGTGAATCTGGGAGTCACCATAGCATGTTCAGGCAAACATCTGAACCAGGCCAGTAAAAGTAATTTATGTTAAGCTCAGTTAATTTGGAGTGCAACTGGACTTTGTTTGTGCATCTTTTTAAGTGGTGGAGCGATAAGAAAAAATAACTTCAAAAAGAAAAGTGAGAAGCCATTCTTTTTGGAAATTAAGTTTTGAAAACTTATTTCCGGATATTTTATAGTTTAAACAGCTTCTAAACAAATTGGTTCTACGGTGTTAAACAACTTTTATCTATTTCAGACTAACCACCAAGGCATGAATAACTATTTTCAAACCAAATTCAAGAATTTCAGCTGTATTAAGAATATTTAAAAACTCATAGATTCCCCCCGTCCATTATTTTTCAAGGATTAATTCAACCCATTGGTTTTACATGAGATGAAAAGCACCCCAAGTGAAAAGCACTTGGGGTTATGTTTACACTACAAGCAACCCTCATTTTGCACAGGGGTTACGTTGCGGACCCCAGCGTGCGTCGGCAGGGCCTGCATAAAGTGTTCCTTTCCGCTCCTTTAGGGACATTTCAGTGATATTTTCAGGTCAATTCCGGGTTCAGTGCTTTACGTGCATGATCACATGTAAATAGGAATCAGAAATCTGAGTACAGGCAACAACCTAAGTCTACCAGAGATACCAGAAGTCAGATTTAAGTTACCTACAGCTCCTTATGACGATACGTAATTAAAATGGCTACATATTGTCACTATGTAATTGGGATGTGTACAAAGTATTGCATTATTACAGTGCGCTGTAAACATCATTAGATTTAACCTCAATACTGAATATATTTAATTAGAAGTAAATCCCACCTAGTTAAACAGAACTTAACTTCCCGGTTAAGTGTTCTTCAAATCACAAGCACAGGGAGCTATTTATATAAACGCATTAGTTTCTCTTATAGTTATGGTATACAAATGCTATACCAGTACACTTATAATATTTCCAGTTCATAAAAATATTGTCTTTCCCCCTAACATCAACAAGTCCTACTTCTGAAGATTATTCAGTTTCAGAAACATAATATTGATTTCTAAAACTTCGCTGATGTTATTATTGCTACCATCGCTCAAGCTTTTGCTTACATTTTCAGTGGAACATTATCTATTCAAACAAACAAACAGGAGGGCAGCCTACACAATTACAGCAAAAAACTTATCGCGGGTTTCAAGAAAGGGCTATGCACCTATGTAAAAGTTGGCATTTATTACACAGTGAAGTAGTTCTGTATCGATATAAAATCCGTATTACACCTTCTAGAATTTGGGATCCCTGCAAGGCATTTCGAAAATCCATTATTGGGAAATCCCCTGC